TTCTCTGTAGAACAAGCATCCACCATGCAAAGAACAATGGGAAAGTTCCAGATCCGAGCTGGTTCCCTCACTGTATTCTTTGTGGCAGCCATTTTGATTATTTTAGGTGTATATGATCGTTTGATAATGCCATTTTGGAAGAAATGGAAAGGAAAACCAATTAATAGAAACTGAGCATTATTTCATTATATGTAGCATCAATCTTATCTGAACTTGACACAGGATTTAGCAACCTACAAAGAATAGCCATAGGTTTGTTCCTTTCAGCTATAGGAATGGCAGCTGCAGCAATAGCAGTGGTGAAATGGCTATCTGTCGCAAAAGCATCTGATCAAACCACAACCCTGCCTATCACCGTTTTCCTTCTGATCCCACAGTTCTTCCTTGTTGGTGGTGGAGAAGCATTCACACACACTGGCCAGCTGAATTTCTTCATCACTCAATCTCCAAAGGGGGTGAAAACAATGAGCACGGGCCTCTTCCTCACAACTCGTCACTGGGATTCTTTTTCAGCAGCCTCCTAGTTTCCATTGTCAAGGCAGTGACTGGAAACAGCCATCGACAAGGATGGCTGGGGGATAATATCAATAAAGGAAGACTTGACTGCTTTTATGAGCTTCTAGCTGCACTAAGCTTCATTAACTTTGGACTATTTCTTCTCGCTGCAACATGGTACAAGCGCAGAACATTAAACCATCCCTCCCCCGGGCTGAAGATTCTAGTTAAAGGTTCCTCAACTGAGGAGAAATCCTAGCTTTTGATGCATCCTGTGTCTTGTCTTCATGGTATAGTTTGTGGCTTCCCCCATTGTTATGTGTGATTACCGAGTACTGACTATTGTAGTAGTGTGGAGCTTTTTTGTTCGGTGTGGCCCTTATACCCCGCCTAGTATTCAGTTGGATCTAGTGTTCCAGTACTGAACAAGTGTGCCTACTTTTTGTTCAATAAACAGTCTTTTGCAGTCTTGCCTCTAGAACAAGTATTTGGATACGTAACTTGCAGCAATGCTATACTTTCAAATACATCGTAACATTATAAATTTATAATCATAATATAATATTAAATAAATATATATAATATCTTAATAAATTTTTAAATAAAAAATTAATTCTATAACAATAAATTATATTATAAACTTACAAATTATATTACATTATATTATAATTATATCATTTTCTATATAAATTGAAAGCAGAGCAATGAAATTTCATAACACGGCGTCCTACTGGGGCGGGGGCCGGGGACATTAATTTTGCATTGAAAGCGTTTTGAAACAGCAATTCAGTGAACCATACCATGGAAATGGTTCCTCACGTAACATCAGTGCATTCACCCCACCCTGACCATGTAGGGATGGTAATTCTCCCTTATCCTCACCGCATGGCAGGGTGAGGCAAGGATAAGGGGTATTTTTTTTTTTTTTTGTGAATTTACGTGGAGAATTTTTCCTTTTTTAAGAGTTTTTGTGGAAATTCTTGTTTCTTGAAAAAATATATATATATATTAATTTTATTGTAAGTTTAACCCAACACACAATATAATTACAATAGAACTCAACCCTGACTTAATTTTAGACTAATTTCCTCAACTCCATCTAATCCATATTTAATTCTAATGAGTCTAAGTTCTTATGAATTAATGTAGATTAATCAACCCAACAAAAAGTGAAAAGGAATTGATGTAAAATAATCTAAAATTAAGTATTTAATTCATAATCAATTATACTATACTGTAAATCTAATAGAACTCTATACTTTAATTTTTCACAATGTAAATTTTAAGATATTAGAAGCTATAAAATCTTCTTAAATGTATTAATTTTGATGTGTATTACTATTTATAATTAACCATGCGAATTCAAATTTTCATATCTATGCAATATTTTTTAAAAGATTATTTTTAGTTATCTAGAGAGGGATTAAAATTGTGATTGGTGGGGGAATGGATACGGAAGAAAAAATTTACCTAAATCAAAAATTTTTGCAAAAATCCCCATCCCTACCATTTGCAAAAATGAGGAGGAGGAAGCACTCCCCAATCCTACAGGGCCCATTGCCATCCTTATTACCATGCCACAACTCAAAAATCACATAGTAGGTGGCCTTTACCTTATTAGCGGCGGCCGCCACAGATTGCCAGAGCATACTAACGTCATCACCTGCCCTTTACGTTGGTCTCGATATCACCCTATCCCTTCGGAGCCTTCACTGGATTTTACTCACTATCTTGATAGCCGTGGAGAAAAATTATACTCAAACCTACCAGTCAACATTGGTTGGGGACTGTTGGTCATTTTCATGCTGCTAAGGATGCTCGTACCGGTGCTACAGCAATTTCTTTGTAATCCTTTGGTGACTTCTTGTATCGCCTATTACTAGTAACTATAGATATAGCTTCCACACCACACGTTTGGTTTTACACATAGGGATAATGGTATGTTGTATAATCCTTACTTTCTTATCAATAAATTTCATGACTTTCTAAGCAAAAGGAAAAATAGTACATCTTTCTATTTTTAATGTTAAAACGTTTAATAATAACCACATGATATATTTGATAAAGTTAAAACTCACATTATATTCATACATTTAATAGTTATGATTGAATATCTTAATATTTTTAAGGATTTGTCTAATGTATGCTCTTATGACACAAATTAAAAATGTAATAAATAAATTTTTAATAATTAATTTACATAAAAAATAACAAAAGTTAACTTCTATTTTAGTGACAATAGCAAGTGAACAATTTTAATTAATCCATTAATTAAATTCAAATCAACTTTTATCATTTTCTATGTAAAATTAATTATAAAAAAGTATATTTATTGAATCGAACCTTCGAGTATAAGTGATTCGCCCCCACATCTTAAGGTGTTTAGATTAATTGATCAAGTTTCAAATCCCACCAATCCCAATCCCAAAAATTGTAAATTGTTCAAAAAAAATATATTTATTACACTTTTAATATGTATCCTAAAAACACAAAATAAAAAAAAAAATCTTATTTTTAATATAGGATATCTTGATTTTCCCTTTTCTCTGCCTTCTATCATAAAAAAAGAAAGGAAAGAAAGAACGGAAGAATGCAACCCTTCCTTTTAAACTATATACTACCATGCTGCTGACTTAGTCCGCAAGATCAATTGCACCCAAGTCTTGGTTAGAAGAAATATGGTCTTATTATGGAAGTGAGCTGCGAAGAGACGGGTAAAATTGTATAAAAAAAGAGTGCGCCATGCTTCTTTAAGTCTACTTGACAAAGAAAATCAATGCGGACAGTAATATAGCCCAATCAGGGAGGCCACTTTTAAGCAAACTCAAAGAATTCACAATAGATGTATTTAATAGAAGTTAAGAGAGTAGACAAATGCTTCGAGGTAGAACACTATGGTATTTAAGTTCGGTTAGCACATGTTAAGCATGAGCCAAATTCTAGGAGTTTGAAACATGCCTGTGAGATCAAGAAAACAAGTAGCAATCTCAACACTAAATTGGAACATAAAAAAGTGTTTTATAGTTCGAATCATAAAACTGACTTTTTTATAAGAGGACATCCCCCTAATATTGGAGGCCTCCCCATCAAAAGGTCGTTATTTTATAGTCTGAAACAGCCGGACTGTAAAATAGTGCACCCCTTGAAACAAACTAATTTTCAGCGTTAAAAAACATCAAGTGGAAATAATATGACCTATTACATCAGGAAGGGAAAAGGTTATACGCTATTATAATACGATGTGTTTCCACCAGTTTAAAAGCAAATATTAAATGGGTTTAGGAACCTATGTTATGACAATGCCGACTTTCACACAAGAAATTGCCCAGGTAGCTGGCTCCCACTAAATTCACTATAAACCCATACTTATTGTCCATTAACAATCTTTGAATCTAACCAACCATCTTTAAAAAATCAAAGGTCAAATGGCTATCATATGTCTGAATAAAATTGAATGGTAGACCTTAAACTTGATTAGGAAGACACTAAGACTACAATGATAATAACAAAATTTTCACCTCCCATTTGCATTTCAAAATTATTCTACCAAGACCAATCTCACCTCTAAGAGAAGGAGGTTTACTCTCCAGTCCCTACTCCAATTTCGGCTCCTAAACTTCAAAACTTAGGAACATATATATCAAACATAGTTTAAGATTATAAAATCCAATGCACAGCATCATAATTCAGCATTGTCAAAGCAATTCCAAATAAAAGACACATGAATAAAATACGAGATGAAATAAACATATGATATATTGATATAAAGATTAAATAAGCTTTCAAACTCCATCAATGGAAGGAGTACCAACAGAAACACCAGCAGTCAAAGGATCAAAAATAAGAACCAAAAATAGTAATAAAAAAGATGACAGAAATACAGGGCATCTGAGATTCTTTGCTCTACTAAAATACAGAAATCAGCAATAAGCAACAGATGTGAATCTCAGACACCTAGTATTACTAAAGAACGGCCACAATTAACTAACATACCAAATGAAAGCCTAAAACAGAATACCTAAACCCAAAATGAAGCCAAAGAGCAAAAGAAATCTGATACCATCAATCTCTTTTGCCCTAAATTTAAGCCCTTTTAATCACCAACCAATCTCTTCCTTTCCTTTCTGATCTTATTTCCATTCTCTCTTCCCCATTCATTTCCTACATTAACCCTAGATCTAATTCTGTGACTCACTCTTCTTGCCAGTTCCTTCTCCTTCCCTGAGTTCCCTCTCTTCCAACAACCTCCCAGATTCCTCATCAGCCGGATTAGCCTTCTTCTGTGTATCTTTGGCCTTCAAAGCCTGCAACTTTGAATGGTTATAGTATGCAACACCCAAGAATGCAAGCCCATATCCGAACAAGTTGATGGGTGTGACGGTGTCCTTAATAACAGACCAAGAGAACGCGATCAACAGCCAATCCTTCACCACACCAGCTACATTCATGGTCAGGGCAGAAGTCTTCCCAACAAGCAGGAACACAGCCAGATTCAGAGCAAAAGCACACAAGGAATTGGTCCCGAAGATCACGAAATCGAAATGGAAACTCGAAGTCTCCTTCAAAACAGGGAATTCAACAAAAATCCAAGGCACCAACAAGAAAACAAAGCAGCAGGGCGCAACATGGTACAGAGAAGTAATGGGATTCAAGGTGATCCCTTTAGAAGTGAGCAAGATTTGGATCATGACCAACCTGGTTGCCTCAAAAGCAACAGCACCCAACTGCAATATCACCCCCCAGGAGTCGAATCTGGCCTCCCCATAAGCCGCAACAGCCACCCCAAACGAGATCGAGAGCATATTAATCATGGTCTCGCTCTTGAAACTCTCCTTCTTGAAAAGCACCCCGATGGAATATACCGCGACGGGCATCAGAGCCTTAAGCATCTGGATAAACGACACGGAGAGGTAAATGTACGCAGAATTGGAGAGCCATAAACTGAGAGAGTACAGCGCTCCGATGGGGACGACGGATGAGAGATAGACTTCGCGAGACATGGAGACGGGCTCGACGAATTTGAAAACTTTGATGAGAAGAAAAGCGAGGGTGGCGCAGAAGGACATGTGGATCATGGTGAGGGAGATCGGGAAGGGCCAATTGTACATCTTCTTATCGAGGATGTACTTGTTGTAGACGATGACAGTAAAACTGAGGAAGATCCAGATGGCGACATAGGTGTAGGAGAGGAAGATCTTCTTGATGACGCTGTTGCTGAGACTGCCGCCCTTGCCCATTTTCGCCGGGGATGAAGGAAAGCCCAGTTGGGGGGCGGGAGGAAGATGTGCAGGATAAAAAGAGGGGGGAAGATTAGTGGTGGAAGGAGTCAGAGAGTTTGGGGGGCTTCGGCGTGGAGAAGACGAAGATTTGGTTTTATTTAGAGGTAGCAGCTTAATGGACCTTGTGTTTTCATCTCTGTAATTTTCTTGTAGGGCCCATCTCATTCATGTTCATAATTCTAGCATTAAAAAATAAAAATAAAAATGAAAATCACAATCTTTTATTATTAAAATTGTTTAGAACGAGTCTAATTATAATTATCATTTAATCAAAACTTCACTTTAATGATAATTATATTTAATTTAAATAATAATTATAATTGAATATCTTGATAATTTTAATGATAAAACGTTTTAATTTTCTGCATGCTCATCTTAAAATATAAATAAATCGTCTATATAGTTCATGAGCAGCTCACTAACTGCAAGATTTGTTTATTAGGTACTTGCCAAAGATTAAAAACTAAATTATTTAAAAGAAAGTTACTTTTATAAATTTTAAAATGATTTTTTTTTAATTACACATTTAAATTTTTTAAAAATTCACCTAAAAGTTACTTTAAGTGTTAACAAGTTTACTCATCGCGAATTTGAATTTGAATCTTTTGTACTTAATGATGCTCAAACTTGATTAGTATGAGCTAAGCATGAAAGATCTTAATACTAATATTTTTAGTTTTATTTTGAATTATTTTTATTGTTTCTTTTTATATTTATAGTTAAGTATATTTAAATCAATTTTTACACATTTTTAAATTAATTTTTAAAAAAATATTAAAGACACAAATTCTATATTAATATGATGCATATTAAAAAATTAATTTTTTTGGAGAGTTTATTAGAAAGATTTGAATTATGAATCTAACCTTTAAGATTTATTTTTGTAGTTTAATTAAAAAAAATACTCATTATTCACAATTGATCTTGACATCTCAATTTTAAAATTTTATTAGCAAAGATAATGACAAAAAGAAAAAATTTATATGCTGTTGTATGTTTGTACTTCACTATTACATTATAGTAGTATAAGATTTTTTCTGGTTAATTTTATACCTAGTTTAAATTGATTTTATCTCGTAAATTCTGCATTAATTTTTTTTAGAGAAATACTAAATAAATAGTCAATGTGAAAAATAGAAGATTAAGACAAAGACAAACGATTTAAGTAAACTAATAATTTTTTTTGTTGAAAATAAAAAATTTTAAATTTGTATTACATGAAATATGAGTGAGATGAAATAAAAAATAAAAGATGATTATTTTTTATTATATAATTAAAATTAAAAAAATATATATTTCAGACAAAGGTGTAAAAGTGTTGCCGTTTTAGAGCAAACGGAAATGAAACGGAAGAACTGAGAAAGAAGGCTGCTTAGACTCGGACGAGGAGCCCCGCACAAAACGCGGGCGCAGGGCCCACGATATTTCTCACGTGGGCCACGTTGCTGCTGCGTTGTTGACAATTTGCTAAACCACGTGACCGACAACTGTTAGA